TAGTCAAACTGATATATCTTTACAACACACACCTTCTCTTTTCTGCACATCCAATATACACCAAACTTTTCCAAAATCCATAGAAGTTGAACCATAACATATTTCGTTTAAAATCTTTATATTGGTTCCTTTTCTCAATATCAGTTTACACCCTTTCTTGATTTTCCCCACTTGTTTCTTCTACTACCAAATAAAATAGATGTTGTTTCTACTGCCAAATAGAAAAAGGAAGAACAATAAATTGACATGTGAAAAATTCTGGTTACCTGTCTGGTGGTGTTCATAGAATCAGAGTTGTCATCGGAGATGTCAATTTTTCAAAGGGATTATAGATTTGGCGATTTCAATTTCACAGAATATCGATTTGGCGATTATTTCACCGATGGATACAATTTGGATGGAGATGTCGATTTCAATTTCACAAAATACCGATTTCAGTTTCATATGAGAAAAACGATTATACAAAGGGAGAAAAAAGCTTACCACCGGGAGATTTCTCTTTAGAGGAGATCGACATAGGAATCAGAAAGGAATTGGAGGAGGGCGACACCAGAGGAGAAAGTCGTTGGAGTTGGATGAGGAAGTTGTTACGTGAGGGTCTTGTAAAAGGTCTTTGGCTTTTGGCAAGTGAAGAAGAACCAGGCGTGGGAAAAAGGGTATGTATCTCTAATTTCTATGTCAATGATGTTTTTCACATTACTCGGTCAGATGGATAAGGACCGAGTAAGAGGTTAAATTGATGGTATCAAACGTACTGTCTCGGACCGAGTAAGAAGTAACCTCTTACTAGACCCAAGAAGGGGTAAGACATGTGGAAGATATAATGGATAACATATTGACCCATGCTCAAATCCAGACACCACTCAACCCATGCGTCTATGGAGGTTCGTTTGCAGTGATACACGAAATCTAGCCCGAAACTCTCGTTAGAGAAGTTTTCTTTCCAAAAAGAAGTCTCAATAGATAACATCAATTTTCTTTGTTTGTTGAGTTTCCTATTTTACTGCTTTCTTTATGTTGTATATAAATCAAAAGTAATAAAAAAGTAGTCTAACTTATAGTTTTATCTTTTAGTAGATAGGTAATATTAGAAAACTTGGAAAACCTAGAAAACCCAATCTAATATCTCTGGATGCTAAAAAAATCATTTTATGTTTAGATCTGGCCTAAATTAATGTTTTGTGGCTATATTATTTAAAAAAAATCTAAGATCAACACCTCTGAAGCCATTGTATTGGTTTTAACATACATATGAATGAAAACGCAGTGATATATTATAGTTTTAGCGAAATCTCCATGCCTAATAAAAACCTCCCTTAAACGCCACGTGTCCATCTTTTAGAATAGCCTTCTGCCACGTGTCAATCCCACAAATATTCAATCTTCTGTTTTTCCCGCCTATCTTCTGTATCAATGACAAATACAAAAAATTAGAAAAAAATTAAAATTTAATCCCTTTAAATCAGCCGCCTAATTAGTGATATATATGCATCCGTTCCTTTCGTTCCGATCACAGTTCTATCTTCTCCAATTTTTCCTATATCTTTTGGAAACCAAATCACTGATTAAAATTTATAAAATACAAAAAATCAGGAATGATTTATCTTCATTGATCTTCAACCCAATTTTAATAAATCCTGATTGAAATCCGCAGCCATCTCCTTATTATCTTTGCTTTCGTCTTCCAATATGCCCCCGATTACCCTGCTACTCCCATCGATTTATATTTACTCTTGCCCCTGTCTCTATGAAAATCCTAGAAAGTTGACTAAACCACCACCTTACCTCCACTGCCACACCCCACCACCGCATATGCTAATCTAAAGCAATACCCAAAACAAGGTAGCCAAACCACCATGTCTCTTCCACCATCGCATGACTTCAATCACTACCCGACTTTTTGTTGTATTATGTGCCACTTCCTTCTCAGTCTCTTTTACTTCCGACTTGCTTTCCTTCTCAGTCATCTAACGACTACTAAAAAAGATAGAACAGAAGCAACAAATCAATGGGTTTGAACTTTGAAGGTAAGATGTATAGGCTTAGGTTATTCTATTCAAAGTAATTATTGTGTTATTGTATGCATAAATGTGGACCAATCAATTTTACTTATTTTAAGAAAGTGATTAATATATATTTTTGAATTAAATATAATTGAAAAATATCATCTAATTTAATTACAAGGGTATTTTAGTCAATTAATATAGATTTGATAAAGAAAAATCGCATATTTTAAGGGATCATATATTCTATTAATTTTAAAAATCCGATTTTATGAACTAAATTTTTTTTAATTCGGACAGTCTGACAGAGTATGTTTATGAGTATATTTCAAAATAAAAATATTCTTAGACCATAAATAATAAAAATATTCTTGAACCTATTTCTTGATCATGACTTTAACAACTTCTTGTAGAATAACAAATTCTTGAACAATCAAGTGAAGAATAAAAACAAAAAATACATAATTTCTTATAGAATACGGTAAATCATTCTACCAGAATATCCTATTACACTTATTAATATAAAAAAAACACAATATATAAATCATTCTACCAGAATATACTATTACATATATTTTTTTCAATACATTGTATATTATTATGGTAGAATAATCCATTCTTTTTGGAAGATTGGTGATCATTGTTCATCTTCATCCCATACATTATTCATCTTCAAGATTCTATTATGACAGAATCAGAATTCAAGATTCCAATTCCAGTAGAACTGGAATTCGTGATTCTATCCCGATAGAACTACAATCATAGAAAATACACAAATCACAAAGGAAATATCAAGATTTAATTCCCACAGAATCGGAATTCGCCACCATCTGTAGCAGTGCAAATATGATTAAGTTCTTCCAACTTGCTCTTTACTCGATTCCTCTAAAATTAAACAACAGCAAGTAATAAGATTTGAAACTAAAAGATCTAAGCATTACCAAAAAACGTACAAGGATATTGTATCCTGAAAGCAATAATCTAAGAAAAGAATCTGACACTTTACGACAAATAAATTATTTCTCTCAGACAAATCCTCAAACACCTGGTGCTCACACACCTACACATCAAATTAATAACTATATCACCATTCAAAAGCTTGTAATTCACATGTCTTGAACAAATCAAGAACTTATATAGAAACACACCTGTTGCATACGGCCAAGCTTGCTCCACACCTCTCTCGTGAAACAAAATTGTAAAGGGTATATGCGTATGAAGATTCGTGGTATCAGCTGCAAAAGCAGATCAAAATTCAAAATTGAAACAAATGTCATACCACAGCTAACAAACAATACATCAATAGAGCCAAATTTAACCTCAGTTGATAGTTTTTTCATCTCAGGGAGAACAAATCTTATTGAAGCTTACCATTAACAATGTCTCTGAATCTTACCAACAACATTTGGAAACAACAATCAATTTCAGCAAAATGAAATCGATTTCAACAACATTTGAATGATAAATCAGAAAAAAAAAATTACCAAGAGAATATATCAATTTCAAAAAAATTACCTGGAACATAAATCAATTTCTAAAAAACTGATTTTAGGAACAATCAATTTCATAACAAGTTTGCAAGATATAATCGAGATTCAACAAGAATTCAACAAAAAAAAACAAATAAAAAAAGGGTGAAGCAACTATAAGCGGAAAAAAAAACATACGTGATGAAGGGCGGCTGACCAACGACGAGGATGGAGGTTGCGCCAGGGAAGGATGTTGCGTCGGACAAGAAGGTTGCGACGACATGTGGATTTGATCGGAGGGGAAGCATTCGGAGTCGAGGAGAGAAGTAAAAGGTGCGACGCGAGGGTGAACAGGAGCGCCGACGCCGACGTGAACGATGAGCGTTGACGCCAACGTGAACCAGAAGCACCGATGAAGGGATGAGGTGACGATGGACGATGCGCTGATGCAATCAGAAGCCGACGACTAGAAAACGATGGAGAGAAGGTGTTTGATTGATGACGACTGTATACAAGAAAAAAAAAGGTTTAAAGTGAATGCTAGCATGATTATAGGGACTATTTGTGGAATCTATTTATCAAAATACTAAAATACACTTGTTTATTTATTTAATTATTTAAATTTTTATTTAATTTTGATTGCCCAACATTTGAGCGGGAATGAGTTATGTTTCGTAGAAACGTAAACATGTGTCTTGGATCTCAAAGGAACTATAATTTTAGTTTTATAATTAGTATTTAAGGAAGTTCTTCAATTAAATAGTAAGAAACATGGAAAGCACACCAGGTGTTTGTGAAAATGTCTCACATATAGTGATGTTGTGATGAAGACATGGTGCTTAAATTGCATGCAATTCTTTGTATCCAGGTTTGTCTGCTTTGTTCTACTAATCCTAAACCTAACCTTGATCATATTAGTTTCTCAAATAACCACGGTTATAATTAGATATGGTTCTTTTCAATTAGTGATCTATTCTCTCTCTCTCTCTCTCTATATATATATATATATATATATATATATATATATATATATATATATATATATATATATATAGGGAAATGATCAAATGAGAACACCAAAAAGGTTGAGAACGCGAGAACATTTCTGGACCAATCATTTTATAAGGATATATTTGTAATTATGTATTTAATTTAAATTAAATCAACTTAAATTCAAATCTTAATTTCCTAAAATTTAGCGATAATAATTATAGTTACCTAAAATAAAAGATTAACCAAATTTTTTTATTAATTGATGAGAAAAATAACTTTTATTAATTTATCTGTCAAAATAAAAAAGTTGTCTTTTTCTAATCTATCATTCATCTAAATATTTTCAATCATATAGGAATAAAACTCATTTGTAATTATAAAAATATATGGTTGTAATCTAAATTAATAAAACACATTTTAGTGATAAACAGATTCATTTTTAAATGAATAAAAAATATACTGCCAATCATACATGAATATACTAACAAATAAAAAATTCAACACATTAATTATTCAATATTAAACACTGTTTTATTCATAAATAAATTTTCCAAATATTGAGGTTATACATTTATATTGTTATGTTTATAAATGAATATGCCGAGACTGGTTTCATATATTTATACATGATTATACTCAACAATGATTAAATCACTTCAAAGGAAAAAAAAACTTGCAAAATTCATCCATATGTCAACCATTTTCTTGAATCGTTCGCAACCCCATTCTTCTATTTGAATCAAATGGCTCGTGAGCTTGTGAAACGAGTAGTAGTAATACCTTAAAAATTACATTAAAAAAATATTAAAATGAATGATTAGTAGCAAACTCATGTGGTTTTATAATCATAATTTATTAGTACGAATCTTCTAATCATTTATGCTGCCAATAGTTATAATCATAAATGATTATTATAGTTGGCTTCTAATGGTATGTACAACTATGATTATACATGTTTATAATCATAAGTGATTAAACAAACACTATCAAGCATTCTTTTTTGATTAAACTATTATCTCCGGTAAACCACCTAGTAATGAATCTGTTCACCTTTATCCAATTTTAATTATTTAAATCATCAAATGTAATTAATAATGAAACAAAATTGGTCTAAAACCTACAAAATAGGTCAAAATTCGGAAAGAAAAAAAAATGAACACAAATACCTTGATTTATCTATGCTGCCATTACTTTGTCCTATTTTTAACCCACACAAATGAGCACAACAAGTTTCCTCTTTGACTGTCATCTCTGTGCTTAAACTTTGTTGCAGGCAACGATAATAAAAAAAAACCAAAAAAAATTGGATCTTTGTTTTGATTATATCCACGCAGTTGATAAACTTCAACTTTTCACTTTAATTTGCCTTTTTTTATAAGCATTTGTTCTTCCCTTTTTACATAACGATGATATTAATACTCTTTTATATTGAAACTAATCTACATTTAAAAATTATATCTGCCATAAAAATGATAATCAAATTAATATCAGAAAAACGAAACACAAACAAGAAGAAAAATAGTAGTATGTATAAGAATGATAACCATAACTTACGAATACTAGGGTCGGCATAGGTTCGCTGGGTCACCAAATATGGTGCGGCACCACCACCATCACCTCTAACATCGTTGCTACATCCTCCTTCTCGATCTCTCTCTGAAACCCCCTCGTGCTCTCCCCTTCGTTTTCCTGTTTAAGAGAAAACGAAACCCTATTGTAGTTAAAACCGGTCAATATTCAAATAGGGAACCAATTGTGTAAATGAGAGTGTTTAGACCAGGGAGAAGGCTCGATGGTGGCTGCAATGTAAGATAATTATCGTGAATAGATTCTGGTGGTGTGTGGATGAAGGAGACTATTTTGTTGATGAAGCCCTAGGTATACAAAAGAGTAAGAAAGAGACGGCAAACAAAAATGAAAGGAAATTGACGTGAGAGAGAGAGAAATTTTAGTAATCAACTAAATTTGTAATTACTATTATACCCATATGGCAGTTTTAAAGTTACACTTTAATGCTAGTAATTTAAGAATTTACATAAATAGCCCGTTTGATTATAACCTTAGATATAGATATTTAAATGGTCCAGATCTGTTCTCGCGTTCTCAACCTTTTAGGTGTTCTCATTTGATCCTACTCATATATATATATATATATATATATATATATATATATATATATATATATATATATATATATATATATGGAAAAGTTCAATAGAGAACCATTATTAATCAAGGAACCAAAAAACCAATTCAAAGCGTCAGAATTTAAAGCGATCAACGGCAAAAGGAAGGGTTGTAAAATTTTATAATGGACGCACATGTACCGAATTATAACAAAACTCACTTCCTTTTTTTAATTAAAATTTTTTTTATGCCAACTTTTTTATCGAAAAAAAAACCGAATATACCGTTGTTTACGATTTTTCGTCCTCTTTCCATAGAGATCCATGATGATATATAAAAAACGATTTTTTTCCCGAAAAAAACCCACTTAATTTTATTAGTTTTTTTCAATATTTAAGTTTATTTTTATAAAAAAAACTAATTATACCAAAAATATTAATTTTTTGTACTCTATTAATAAACATTAACACCGATTAAAAAAAAAAAACCTCGAACAGTGTACATTCACATTGTGAATCTAAACTGTAAATATTTTAGTTTTTAACATTCACAATATGAAAAATCTCGAACAGTTCAGATTCACATTGTGAATCTGAATTACTATGATGCACACTGTGAATCTGAGAAGGTATAAAAAAAAACCCTCGATCAGTGTAGATTCACACTGTGAATCTAAACTGTAAATATTTCAAATTTTAACATTCACAATGTGAAAAAGATCCGATCAGTTCAGATTCAAATTGTGAATCTGACTTATTATTATGTACACTGTGAATCTGAGGATGTTCACAATGTGAATCTGAACAGGTTTACAATATGAATCTGAACAGGTTCACAATGTGAATCTGAACTGAAATATCGTTTTTTTAACATGAATATTAATCTATGTTTAAAAAGTACAAAAAATATGAATTTTGATATATTTATTAATTTTTTTCTATAAAAAATAGACCTTAACTTTTTTCATTAAAGAAAATGAAGTGAGTTTTTTTCGAAAAAAAAAGTTCGTTTTTTATATATCATCATGGATCTCTATGGAAAGAGGACGAAAAATCGTGAACATCGGTATATTCGGTTTTTTTTGATAAAAAACATGGCCTAAAAAAAATTTTAAACGAAAAAAAGTGGTGAGTTGTTTTGTAAAGGGTGAATTTTTTGGTATAATCCGGTGTGTGTACGTCCAATGTAAAAGTGTACATATATTTTAGTGGTCGTTAATCGTTATGATTTCCGACGCTCACGATTGGTTCCTTGGTTAATTATGATTCTCTATTGAACATCAATATATATATATATATATATATATATATATATATATATATATATATATATATATATATATATATATATATATATATATATATATATATATATAGTTTGAGGTGAATATCATTCAGGTTAGTTTTATTTTTTCAAAATTTATTTTTAGAGGATATTGTTTTTTTGGGATTCATGACTATTCTAATTTCACAGTTGATAGTAAATATCCAACTTTAATCTCTTTTTACAGGAGTATTTGATTTTTAACGACAAGAACTCATAATGTTGGTGTCCCTTACTCTCTTTTGAGTACATTGCTGATTCTATGGAGAGGCAAGATCTTATTAGTCTTCACTATTATATTGAGAAAATTATATTCTTATGTTTATTTTTTTAATTAAATATCAATATTTTACATAACTCTTTTTTAGTATCAGTGCAAGGAATAGTGCAAGGAATAACGTGGATTAAAAAATTGTATAATATTGTGGCAAGTTACGACGTCCAAATAAAAATGTATCAATTTTTCTTTTGCATTTATAGTTCAAGTTGAAACTATTATCTTGCTAATTTAGGCATTTAACTCTTTTTGGGAAGAATTGTATATTTTTTTGTCATCACCGTGTAAAATTGTAAATTTTTTGGTCATCAACTTTTGATTTTGTTACTTTGTTTTGGTGTGATCAACCTGTAATAAGACGATAACTTTAGAGAAACATATTAGACTCAACTTCATCTCATTTAGGACCAATATTGAATATTTGATAAATTTATTTTGTTTTATCAAACTTGATTTCTTTGAATGATAGTGTGTCTATTTTAAATGTGCAAGTGCAGAGAAATTCAAGTAAATTACTTGATATGTTTTTTCTACAAGTTCCATTTTAGTTTGAACAATTAATCGACAAATATATAATATAAGTGATTTTTATAAAACAGTTACTTCAGAATTTTTTTATGTTTAAGTGTCTAAATTTAATATGACAATTAGGAATTGATGTAACTTCTTTTGATTCCTCGTTTATTAGAACCGGTTGATTATAATATAATTGTTTATTTTATAACAAACTTAAACATAGCACATTTGAAATGAAAACTTTATAAATGACAAATGTCAAACTTATTCTTACCAATCCAACTGAAGGACCCAAACAAATGATTAAGATTCAAATAAGACTAAGATTCAAATTTATGTTATTTGAAAAAAATGAGTTTTTGGTTTAATTTTTTCGGAAAATTGTTTGTAAAAAGTCGGAAATTGGGTTTTCTTATTTTTGGTTTTATACAGTTTTAATAATTTAGTTTTCTATTTCTGTTGTAAGTCAACAGATTATTGGAAATGGGGGTATTAAACGTCGTTTGGAGCATATTTTTTTTTTCTTTTTACGGTTTTAGCAATGTACTTTGGAGCTAGATTGGTGTTTTTGATAAAACATGGGCTTTCATATTAAATAATGATTGGTATTTTTAGAAAGTCAGATATGATGAAAGTTGGAATCTTTGAAAATTGGCTTTGTATGGTTTTACCAATGTACTTTGCTAATTTCATTTGGAGAAAATAGGAGGAAAAGTTGGGGTTTTGTTTTTTGAATTTTTATAGTTGAATATCATCATGGGTCTCAAGTCTTAAGTGCAAAGCAAAATTCTATTTCGATGTCATTTATAGTATTATATTTTCTAAAATGTTTTTTTCTAGGATTTCGACATGGAGTGGAAAATAAAAATACTTGTATAACATTCTACTTTCTGGAAATTATCATTTATAACATCCTACTTTGTAAAACAGCCTCTTTTTGAGGATTTTCTACATGGAGTGGAACATAAAAAACAAAAATTTCTTTTATAGCATTTAACTTTTTGAAAAACTATCATTTATAGCATTCTACATCTTAAAATGATAATTTTTTTTGAATATTTCGAACATAGATTAGAAAATAAATAAATAAAAACATTTCTTTATATGGCATTCTACTTTTTGGAAATGTTGGTGGAAAATAAATAAAAAACATGTTTTGTTTATAATAATTTAAACATATCAACCGTGGTTTCCACGGGTTATAACCTAGTTACAATAATATAAATAGCCACGAAACATAACATTAAACTAGACAAAAACGAAACATAAAATAATTTTAATAAATATAAGATAACATCATACAGTAAGTTTCTCTAAGTTTTCACCCATATGATATTGGGCCAAAATACTTGGGCTCTTTTTTTATGCATATGCTATTAGAATGATTAGTATCATACCAAGTACCAACGGACCCAAACATCGGTTCACAATCCAGTCTATCTACGACTACATAGAGTCATAGACTAGCCACTTATAGCGTTGTGTTCATAAACCCTAACTCCTTTTTCTTTCGTTCGTCTCCTTCTTCTTTCTGCAGGTACACGCAGCCGTCGCCGTCATGGTATTCTCAATTCCCTTGAACCCTAATCAAGCTAACAATCTTCTTCTATTTACATTTTAATTTGTACGCTAATGCATTCAAATCCGTTTCATGATACCAGGGTATAGATCTTGTTGCTGGTGGAAAGAGCAAGAGGACCAAAAGGAATGCTCCACGTTCCGATGATATCTACCTTAAGCTCCTCGTCAAGGTTTTCATACTCATCAGATTTCACTCTGTCTGCTTTCATTTTTTGTAGGTTTACCGAAATTGTTAACGTTTGTTTGAAAATTGTTTCAGCTTTATCGGTTTTTGGTGAGGAGGACCGGAAGCAACTTCAATGCAGTGATACTGAAGAGGCTCTTTATGAGCAAAGTCAATAAGCCTCCAATTTCTCTCTCTCGCTTGATCCGTTACATGGCTGGCAAGGTATGCCTGTTTGCAATTTCGTTTCTGTAGATATACATCGTTTCATAGATAATTGGTAGATTCTGTAGATATACATCTGTACCTATAATCCGACTTGGAAAAGCTGATGCTTTTTTATTAGCTGTGAATAGTGATGTGTAATCAATTGAAGTAATCTAACTCTTTATTTTGTGATTTTGGTTTAATTAGGACGATAAGATTGCTGTGGTTGTTGGCACAGTAACCGATGATGTTAGGGTTGATGAAATCCCATGTATCAAGGTCACTGCTCTGAGGTTCACCGAGACTGCAAGGGCCAGGATCGAGAAGGCTGGTGGTGAATGCTTGACTTTTGACCAGTTGGCCCTTCGAGCTCCTCTTGGCCAGAACACGGTAAGCTAATCATAATGAATTTCTTATGTTTCTGTTCATGCTCAATCTTATGTCTAAATGTAGTTATGGATGCATGTGTTTATGGCTTTTGCAGGTTCTTCTTAGAGGTCCAAAGAACTGCAGGGAAGCAGTGAGGCACTTTGGAAAAGCTCCTGGTGTGCCACACAGCCATACCAAACCGTATGTGCGATCCAAGGGAAGGAAGTTTGAGAAGGCAAGAGGAAGAAGAAACAGCAGAGGCTTCAGAAACTAAGTGTGTTCATCAATGGTGGGTGTCTTTGAAATGTTGCCAAAGTTCTATAATCTCTTTTTATGCTGGTGTTGTTTGGATTAAAGCTATGATGAAAATTTTGGTGTTTGGTAATATGTTATATGTAGCAGCAGGGAGTTTTTGATTTCTAATTTACCTTCAACAATTGTTTAATCGAGATCAATTTTTATCATTTATGTTTAATGGAGTTCAGTTTTTATATAAAATCACAGAAAGTTGTAGTAGAACCTAAAGTATTTGACTTGGGAGCACAAACATGATATGTATAGATATTTGACTTGAGAGTAAGGGGCTGTTTGGTGTGCCCAACACCATGGACATTCCCAAGAGAGAGAACATGAGTGAAAGAGGAAGAGAAAAGGGGTGGGTGTGACTAGCTCCCTAAGCACTCCCAAAAGATGGAATAAGAGAAAAAGTAAGAGAAAAGGGGCGAGGCTAGTGCACCGGATCTTTTCATGGTCTTGTGACCATCCTACCCAAAACATGGTGTAGCCGAACCTTCTCCGAGCACCGTGCTTATAACCGAACCTCTTTGGGGTAACATATCGTATAGCCTAATAGATAAGTGAATAGTTATACTCTAAATTTGGTGTGTTAGTCATAACATCAACCATAGTCCCATACACTTTTCTTTGCACTACAAAAATAAAGTGTAAAATTAGAGTGGTTGTATGTGATTAGGTTTACAAATTTTAAGGGGTTGACTTTTCTTTAGAATGTTAGATTGTGGATTTTACTGGTTAACTTGCAAATCAGGATGGATTTTATTTAGGCTAAGAGGTATAGAGGCCACACAAGGTGCAGGTGTCTATGTGGCATGCATTGCCGCACAAAAACACCGCCCCTTACTTGATGTGGTGAATCGTTGCACCGGGAGGCTGCAACCTAAAAACCTATCTCACATAATCTTTCTTTTTATTCTTATCCTCCTTTTTCACCACATACATATGCAAGAACACCACCCATGAATATGAAGGAGTTGAGTGAAGATGAATATGTTGCTCATGTGGTTTCAACACAATGTCCAAATATACCATATCTCCTCTTATTTGATGCCTATATGTATGTGTGTAACATGAAACATTTAGTAATAGCAACATGTTGATATCATGCCAACGATGTTGAGACGTGGAGTCTAATCTAAATGACGATGGTGAAGTTACTGTCAAAGTCTTCCGAAGAGTGCGACCTCGACTTTTGCCTAGAGCGCAATCCTAACTTCTACATAGGTCGCAACATGAGTTTGATCTCAACAAAGGTTGGAGACATCAAGAAGAAGCGAAGTTTTGAAGTCAAGATAAAAGCGTAGTGTTAGTGAGATGTTCCGAAGCACAAACTCTGACGCAGTGTTCCTGGAAGATTCGACCGTAAGAGGCAGCAAAGTAGCTTTTAGTCCTGAGCTTCGGTGTTGACTTTACAACATTGGGGAACACGTTTACCTTTACGCCAACCTGTAAAATGCGTATTGGCCCATCACATAATTTTAGTTCAAATACACTACAAATACATCTAATTTATTGTAACCTTAGAGTAGATTAGTGAGTGTGTGTTGGAAGTATATAGTACAATAAATACATAATTCTTGTATTTCATATCAAAATCAATAACAATCTCTCTTGTTTGCCTGCAGACGTAGCTTGATCAATCAGATCAACCGAACAATGTTAAATCTCCTTGTGTTCTTGTTATTCTTCCCATCATAATCATCTCCATTAGTGTGTCTTGTGTTTGCTGAGTTATTCATAATCTCCTAAAAGACAACGACATGGCAAATACGTCATATTGTGTATAATGCTTACGAAACATAATATACAACATTGTGCTTTAAACGTTGAGAGGACCCTTTTAAAACATAGTTTTTTTTGCAAATTTTTAATAAAAATTAGCAAGACGCTAGAAAAACATTAGAAAACAGAGATAACTGAAACCATCATTCATTCATCTCAAACCATCAAAAGTATAACAATGTGAAAAAAAGTTATAGAGTACAATCCCAAAATCATAAAATACTAAATACTGGTGGATGCGATGCGATCATGCTAAACCTTCCTTTTTGAATCGGAAGTACCTAAAACATTTAAACATAAACCGATAGCACAAAGCTTAGTAAGTTCCCCAAAATACCACATACCATACATACATATCATACATACATATCAGCCTAAAGCTGTAACGGGTCTATTTCACCCATGAGTCCCTTCCGACTCTCTGAGTCCCTTACGACTCCTTCGGTATCTTTCAACCGGTACGAGTTTATTTCTCCCCCTACATCTAAGCATACAGTCATACTAGCAAGAGTCACAAAGACAACAAGCACATTCATACATATTGTAAGTGTCACGAAGACAACTATTTTCCTACAACATAATATAGTGGGCCGACATTGGTGCCTTCGACCCACAAGTACAACGAGGAGACTCACATCAATCTGATGATAAACAAATCACACTCTCGGGTTGCTGCTACCACGACTTCTCACACTGAACATATCTAAAATCAACCCTAATTAATAAACAAGGTAATAAGCTCTAATCAATGGTTCAAATCATATTCTATCTTACTAAGGGTAAAAAACCATTTTACCATTCCTATATTTGACCAAACTAATCATGGCCCAAAACCCATAATGACACAAGGCCCAAAATGGCCCAAATGGGCTTCTGGGAGTACGCACTGCGTATCCATAATTACGCCCTGCGTACTGGGCTTCAACAGAAAGGGAAATGGGGTAAAGCCCGTTACACCATGCGTACTCCAGGGTTATGCCGAACGTACTACCCTGAAGTCCAAAACCCATATTAAGCACTTAATAGCTACAGTCTAAGCGTCGAATTCACAGATCTAGCCCTTGGGAAAGTCTTAATTGATAAAGTTGACAACTTTAAGCTTTTGCATGACTTAATAGAGCCCAAAACCAAACCCTAATTTCTTAACACCATAAAATGGTCAATAACTCATGCATGGTTGAACTATTCCCAACAAGATTCGATTTTTATGCAATAAGGACCTCTGAAACATCAAGAAATGCTAACCTAAGCTATGGAGTAGCTCCTACTCATAAGAGCCAACCCTTGGGACCAAAATGCCAAAACCCTAAACTATTCTAAATCTATGTAAAAGAATCATAAAGGTTGAGACTTTATACCTTCTGGAAGATGAGTAGAGTCTGTATCTACAAGCTATAGACTCTAAACACACCTTCCAAGTTCTCCTTCTTCACGATAACACACCAAAAATCACACAAAAGCTTGATATTCTCACAAATGGAGCTAGGGTTTCGTGGGGGCTGAAAGAGAGGGTGGTGGTTGATGATAAGAAGGGTTTCCAAGGGTTTAAGGTCCTTAAATAGGGTCCAATACCCTAAAATTAGGATTTTCATTCATTACGAGTACGCCATGTGTACTCTAGGTACGCCATGCGTACTCATGGGAAACCCCGCGTCCAAGTTAATGAGTTACGCCCCGCATAACGACCATCCATGCAAAAACCTAAATATATAAACTTTTAAAGAATTTATCTGGGAACCGGGTGTTACAAGATAGAATGCGAAGACACGATCGAATAATATTAATCCAGGGCCGTTAGAGAAGGCACACTCAATGTAAGAGTCAAAATGGTCGTTATCTCCATAAATCGATCTAACAATTATAACCAATAAAATATTTCTTAAAGAACTACCATCTCCATGTAAATAATGACCCTTTCTTGAAAGTTAATAAACTTGCAATTCCCAAACCTCTTTCCCCTTCTCTAGCTAGAACTTTCTTCTATATTACCAAAGCCACTTTTTTCCCCCAAACCGACACAAAAAAATGATTCTAGGAGATTTCTACACCTTTTGAAACCGAGTTTGGGGCTTGAAAAAGCTACATATAATAAATGCAAATGGTACCCAACACAAATTTCAAAAAGGTAATTCTACCATGTACGGATAAGGTTTTAACTTTTTAAGTGAAAAGTTTGGTTTTGAACTTATCAATCACCGATTTCCACCCATCGAGACAAGACATATTTGTATGGACGGTCAACTAAGGTACAAATTAACAAACAAGTAGAAGAACATCCAAGAATCTCTGCAAGTTGATCAACCTACTCAAAAGTAACCCCAACCGAAGGTAAATTACTTTTGAGTAAGTTAATTATAAGACCAAAAAGCTAAGAAGAATCATCTAAAGATTATAATACATACTTATGAAACTATTTCCCGAAGGCCAATATATTGACATATCTTGCGTTGCATGTCTAATTCTTTAATTAAGATTATTTATTTATAAATTTTTAGTAAACAAGGAAATTGCTAAGTACTTTTTTATAAATGGAGTTGTTTTAGATTTTCAATGCTCAATGTTTTAGGTATTTCTTTCCCGTTAAGATATTCAAGGGTGTAAGAGCTGCTTCCGTGGGTGTAAATGCTCTTCCTTTGACACAATTATTGCAATATTTATCTATTTGAGTTTTATATGTTTCTTTTTGTAGTTCGACTATTTCACATCATCATTACAGAATATATAAGTTGGTGCGTAAGTCTGTATGTGTACGGTCTTCATCGAACTCAAATACTTGTTGGGATATAAGTTCGAACTCATTAATAATGACTACCTAGGATCTGTAGGTTAATCTGAACGAGGTTTCGTTTGTGTCGGTACGAGGAGTTGTTGAGTATGACCATAACACACTTGGCGGTTCTTTAGCCCACTTTAGATTTGCCATGGCGCTTTTTCAGTCTAACATTGACTACTCTGTTGGTTACATCCCTTTGTCCATTTGATTGTGGATGAGCTACAAAAATGAACTTTTGTTTGATTCATATTTCTTTACTCCAACTCCTCATGATGTTTTCATCAAACTGGGTGCTATTGTCCCTAATAAGTGCATGTCGGACTCATATTCGTGTGATGATGTACTTTCACATGAACATGATTATGTTTTTCCTAGTTATGGTAGCTAACGGTTCCACTTACACCCATTTTGTAAAGTATTTGATTGCGATGACTATAAATTTGACTCGCCCTAGTGCTTCTGGGAATGGACCAACTAGGTCAATCCTCTATTGGTGGAATGACCATCATGCTAATCATGTTGGATGATGGTAGTCATCTACTAAATTCCTGGCATACGATGCATTTAGTTGTTAATGTTTGTGCCTCTATGTTTACTTCATACAAGTAATATATGATACAAAATATTTAAGTTGACAGGCTTCTCGCTCCCTAATGTGCTCCACTAATTTTGGAGTGAGTCTCGGTGAGAATATATTCTGCATCTGCCTGATCTATGCATTGTACATGGTCTTAGGTAGGATTCCCCCTCGGATAACCAATTATGGGGCTTTCACTCTCATCTTTCATGCTATTTTCTCATCTTATGGTAGTACACCATGTTGGCTGTAGTCGTAGTATGATGTCATCCAATTTGGTTCAAAGCAAAAGTCATTGACTTCTTCATTGTCTATGAATGGACAACATATATCGCTCAACATTTAAGTAGACGTTTTATTACTTAACTTTGTTGGAAATTTTACTCAACTATGAGATAATAATTGTTACTAAAACAATTTGTAAACAGATTATGGTTTTCGACTATACAACATGTTTAGCCTATGTTTCATTTTTTTTTAGAAAATGTAAGTGTAGAATTTGTAAATAAATGTTCTGTTAATTTAGTACTTAATACTCTTATTAAAAATATCAAGCTCTCATTGAAAATATTAACTTGTTTATAGTGAAGCTTGAATAGCACGATAAAAAAAATATAATGGGTCCGGAATGGGCTGGAGACGGGTGATGATAGACCCAGCTTTTAAAGGGAACAAATTCGATTCTCAGCACTCGTAGGGGATGAGGACAAGGATGGGTACCCCATATCCCGACATGTTTTCATCCCTAGCGCAAACCCGTTACAAGATAGAAAGTTCTCTTATCAAAAGCGAGCTGGTAAGGGAGGAAGGAGTCATTCCCTTCCAACCCACTGAACCCACTGCCACATCACTTTTTCTTTTTTATTTTTCTTCATCTTTCCCAACCCACAACACACAGAAACCTTATCTTTTTGAAACCACTCAACCCATTCAATTAAAAAAAAAATACAAAACAATCAAAGGTAAAATCTTAATTAGCAATAGAATTACCGGCGGTACCAATCCCCCTTCAACGGGTTGGTTAATTGGTTTCACTAACCCACTTCATCATCTCTCTCTACTTTCTCTCTCTCATTTTCTCTTGTACCATGTGTTTTAAAACTTGTACCTTAGTTGTTTTGTATTTTTTTTAATTGAGTGAGTTGAGAAAGATAGAATTTCCATGTGTTGTGGGTTAGGAAAGATGAAGAAAAAGAAGAGACAAAAATTGATGTGACAGTGAGTTCAGTGGGTTGAGAGAGAACGACTCCCTCCTCCCTAACAACAATAACTACTTCAAACGAAATATTTTATCTAAATATGCTCTAACAACACACTACATTAACGAGTTTTTAACTAGAGGATAGTAGTTATAAAAAATATTTACCAATGTATTGTATTCTAGAATTTATTTACCTAACTCTTGTAGATTAACATTTACCTTTTAAATAACCATTTCGATGGTACCAAGACCCATCCCCACCGTTTACACCAAAACACAAACAAGAAACAATGTCCATGCCATGGTCTCCGATCATTAAAATAATCTCAGCCGTTTCTCTCTCTAGGCTAATCTTCTCGTAGAATTGGTTTCTTTTTGCTGCCATGGTGGAATGCTCTTCCGTTATATGTAGTGTGACGTAGGAGAATCGGTGGAGCAAAGATTGCGACCCCATGACAATGAAGTTTGAATGACTTGGTTGAAAAGGGAAAACGAAGATGGGTAGTGGAGGAGTGTTGGGCGCTGGAAAAGTTCCAAGGAGCAGAGAAGTGGAGTAAGGTATCGCCCAAGGTTACATTACAGGCAAACGGAGACCATCTTATTGATTAAATTGTCCATATTTTCCCTCGTTTACACACTTTTTTTGTTTTCTTAATCACTGATGCCAAAAGCAGCACCGGAGACCTAGTGCTGCAATGTCTTTGGTACACTTGGCTACTAATCCGATCACAAAACTTGAACTTGAGCTAACTCAACAAGAAGCTTGGACGTTGCAGATAACCAAAACAATGAGGGTGAATGAGAATTTGGATCACTTACGAGCTGCCACATGAAGATTTGAGTGCAAAACATTGGACTGATGGCTTATGATTGCAATGAGGTTGACAGACAGTTTCATAAGCAAAAAGCATAATGTATTGGTGGTGGATGACGAGGACAACAAAAGGGTGGCATGGCTGAAGAGGGAAGGAAGGCGGCAAACGGCGAGGACAATCGTTGACAGAAAGAATGCATAAGGTGAGGGAAGAAGACGAGAGGGTCATGGACCCATTTGTTTTATTAATTTCTTTTTAAATAAAAAAATACAATTATTTGGTAAATAATTTACAAACTACAAGCAAATGGTAATTACTTTTTACAACTACAATTACTTGGTTAAAAACTCCTACATTAACCTGTTTAGATAATGAAATAAAATATGTTAAATAACAGAACATACCCACAAAGCTTCGAGTTCTTAATCTTTATTTATATTAATGTAAGTCTAAAATGCCCGAAAAAGAGAGTCCTTAAGTCCGAAATGCAATTCTCAACTACATTCTCCTAAATACTATATATAGGAGGGACACCACAGTAACAAGTCAAATTCATCATGCAGGTGACCAGATCAGATCAAAGTCGGATCCAAAATGTGATATTCCAGACTTGGTATTTAGTTTTTCAAAAATCAAAAAATATTGGTACTTGAAATGTGATAATAATATGGTTACTTCAGTTAATTTCCAAAAGATGTATCGCATCATTCGTGGGTATGGACCATTTTCTACGTTGTTTGGGTTCACGGCCGGCCGGTTCTTATAATAGTCAGAGTAGATCTCGTTTATCACAGACATACACTTCTCACTTCTCAGTGGGACTGAGAAACAGGACTCTAAAATATGGAAATTATAAAACACAGTAAGATACCGGTCAACGGAATAAATATGCACGTAGCAGAGATTCCCGGCGATGGTCCACCGGTTCTTTTCCTCCACGGTTTTCCCGAACTCTGGTACTCCTGGCGCCACCAGATGCTCTATCTCTCTGCCCTTGGTTACCGAACAATCGCCCCTGATCTCCGCGGCTTCGGAGACACCGATGCCCCTCCTTCCGCCGCCGAATACACTGCCTTCCACGTTGTCGGCGACTTGGTGGGTTTACTCGACGCCCTAGGTCTGAAACAGGTATTTCTTGTGGGTCATGATTGGGGGGCCAACGTGGCGTGGAACTTGTGTTTGTTAAGGCCCGATCGGATTAAGGCGTTGGTGAATACGAGTGTTGTATTTAGTCCTAGAAATCCGGTCAGAAAGCCAATTGAATCGATGCGCGCCATGTTTGGAAACGACTATTACATATGTCGATTTCAGGTAATCCAAAAACATCGCGCTTTACCTAATTTGGATTTATTTCTAATCATTTATTGTATCTGGTTGAGTTGCCATATCGATCTGTTTTCGTCATGTATCACTGAATTCAGAGGATATATCCAAGTTATCGATCTGTGAACTGTTTTATTTATGCAGCAACCTGGAGAAGCCGAAGAAGAGCTTGCTCGTGTAGATACAGCACAAGTTATAAAAAAGTTTCTGACTTCTCGTAATCCAGGCCTGCTTTGTGTGCCTAAAGAAGTTGGATTCGGGGGTAAACCCAATTCTAAGATCACTCTTCCCTCCTGGTTGTCAGAAGACGACGTCAATTATTATGCAACCAAGTTTAATCGCACAGGCTTTACTGGTGGATTGAACTACTATCGAGCTATAGACCTGTAAGTTGCCCTTCCCTTCCCCAACGCTTTTTATGTTCTTGTATATATATTTAGCCTGAACTGTGGAATATACTTAATTTGTTGCAGAAACTGGGAATTAATGGCGCCATGGACGGGTGTGCAGATTAAGGTGCCAGTTAAGTTTATTGTGGGAGACCTGGACCTGACTTATAATACCCCTGGTGTGAAGGACTTTATACACAAAGGGGGATTCAATAAACATGTTCCTTTCTTGCAAGAAGTTGTGATAATGGAGGGAGTTGCTCATTTTATTAATCAAGAAAAACCCCAAGAAGTTAGTGAACATATCTATGACTTCATCAAGAAGTTTTGAGTTACTCTTTTAATGTAATCCTGTGCCTGTAGCTGTCATGCTAAGGATTTTCATGCAAAATAAGCATAGAAACGACTTGATCCTTCCAATATGTGTCAGATGAGATCCAATTTTATAAATTCACATATTTTTATAAGTTATCTATCTATATCATTTCATGATTTCTAAATGTTATGAATTGTTTTATATTGAGGTCGCGTATTACTTGACAGTTGACACTGAATTTGAATTGCTTTTATGTTAATGTTTTAATTGTATGTTCGAAAAATCAAAAATAGATAAATGATACTTTTTCAAAACGTTGAGGACTGCTTAATTTGGGTTAACACGATCTGATTCTCTCTTAAGGGTCTGTTCAGCTTTCCAAATAAATGGATTTTAAACATTTAAATGAAAGTTGATGAATTAAATTACAAGGCAAATAATCGGATAGAATTTGTAAGCAAAAAAAAGACTAGTATAGCATTTGATATCCATCAATTCTATACATGATTGCTCCGGCAGCGGGCGCTTATAGGTTATAGCCCACCGTCATATGGCACACCGGTCTGAGGCAAAAACGCATCGCCGGAGATAAAAGCAGACACCGTGAAGTTCACCGCATCTGTGGCGTTAATAATATGAAATCCCGGCCAAGTAACTCTCTTACTGGTATCCGACCCTGGGCCGAAGTTATTAAATTCCGCATAGTAAGAAGTATTTAACGCAAAATCACCTGACCAAATCGACCACCCCGCCGGAGTGATCAATGAATCCATGAAAGATTGCATATAAACTGTTCGTGAATACTCCTTCCAGGGTCGTCCCAAATACGTCAGGGTACTACTATTGCTCGATGCCAAATCGTCAGCTGCTCGAATGATACACTTCTGGATCGAGTTACCGGTGTTTTGCCCGGGATCTGTTCTTCCCTGTGCTGTGATTGCATTGAATTGTCCAGACATCGGCAATCGTGGGTACATATTACAGTTTTGGAAAACCGCCGCTGCGTTTCCAAATATGAAATCTACAGTTCCATATATGTCGCATTCTCTGTAGAATTGACGAAGTGAGTGAGTGTATAATGTGTCTTGGTACCCTTCGAAACTGCAGCTGTAGAACGTCGATAAATCTGCTCCGTTTCTTAATGCGACGGCTTGGTGCTTTACTGCTCCGGCGGTGTTGCGGATTGTTATGTTCACCGCCACAAAATTAGGGGCCACCACGACTGTACAGATTTGAAGTGTCAAATTTTATAAATTAATTGATGCTAATCGACAATGGGAATAAATTATGTGCATATGGTCTAATCCTCTGAAATTTATATTAATAGAATAATTCGTACCTTTAATTTTTTTTAAAGTATAGTTAATTTTAAGTTCCCTTTTTGGTAGTAAATACAAAGAGACCAGGCGTATTAGATAATGTATTAAAATTCCTTGAGAATTTCTTCTAGATTATCAACCATTAACATATTACATTTATTCATATTTTTGTACAATAATAACATAATTTAAGATGTGTTTCGTAATGGCTACTTATCAAATGAGTGGGGTTAGGTAAGCATGTTTATAAGCTGTATGGGTTTTATTAAGTAAAACAAAAGAATTGTTCTTAGAAGTAATTAAACAAGTCAAATTGATCGTGTACAATTGGTTCATATTGTATTTCTTATAGTATCAATTAATTCAGAAATCTGAATTATCATTAGAATAATATCTATTTTTAAATTATATTTATCGTATACATTTATTGTAAAAATATAAAAAATCGGCAAATGGTAAATTTAAAAGGAAGGGATGCAGGATGCTTACTAAATGTTGCGGAATTGAAGGTGGTCCAGCCATCTACGACATTGTGATTTCCGGTTATCACCGTCTGATTAATACCAGCTCCGATCATCATCAGATACTTCTTGTTTTTGGGAATGTTGACGTACTCCTCATAAACTCCGGCTCTCACATAAATCAGGAAATATCCAGCAGTGGAAAGAGAATTGTTGGGAGCAAAGTTAATGGCGTCAGTAATGTTGGTGAAGTTCCCAGTCCCATCTTGACTAACCACCACAATATTGCTGATAACCAACTGATTTCCGGCGCCACCAGTACTCTGAAGAAGCTTTCTCCGCCCCACCGTCTCCAACACCGCCTTTGATTTTTCCGACATTTTAAAAGGTGGCAATCCACCGTTTTTAAAACCGCTATTTTTCTTATTCGAGAAACCAAATTTCTTGTTTTTACTACCCCATCCTTTGTTAAAAAGGGCTAGTGAAACACTGTACAATTTGTTATCGTTTTTAATGGGAGCCACAATGCCATTTTTCGAGCTCCATGAACCGGCGTTTGCTTGGAGGCCATCTATGCATGTTTCTGTATTGGTCAAAATGGCGCTGAGCATCGTCTGAGTGTCTTCCGATTTGATATCCGAAAGGACACTTTGTGTGGTGTTGACTGTTTGGAAAGTGCTTGAAAGGAACTCCACGTTTACTCCGGCCAAGTACTTGCAATCTTCAAGTGCACGAATTGCACCGGTTGTTAAAGAGGCGGAGCTGCTAAGATATTTATCGATCAAATTGGAGAATTTAGTGGCGGCGGATATGGATTTCCGAATAGAGAAGCGGCCGTAGTCATAGACAGTGGCGGAGGAGTTGCTGACGGGGAGGGATGCTTGGCAGATTGAAGGATAAGGGGTGTATTGGCAGACTGTGGCGGTTGCAGCGCCGACAGAGGATGTGTATAGTGCAATGAAAAAGGAAATTAAGAGGAGGTTACAAATGGTACTGGTGGAAGCCATTGATGTGAGCTTAAGATGATGGAGGAGACGATGGGAAGGGTAGGGGTTGATATATACAGAAAAGGGTTTGGAAGTCAACTTGTGCATGGAGAATGGAGGGGAGGAATATATATTTTTAAAGCGTGTTCTAATACTGGTCATGGAGAGAAGAGACAAACTTGCCTCCATGTTGGTGTATTCTAATATTCTTCTTCTAATTTTTAATTTTTGATTTGAATTGTTGTACTTAATTTTTATGCATTTTTGTGGATATTTTTCATCGTTTTATGTCTAAATTAAGATTTTCTACAACAAAGTCACGGTATCCAAATTCAACGTTTTTAGGCATTGATTTTTTTTTTTTTTGGAATAACCAGCCTAAAACCAACTATGAAAAAACTAGCAAAAAGTATGTACAGTTCACATAATCAAGTTTGGACTTTTGATCCAATCGAACGAGCTACCTGGAAATTTCTCCCTTCTACCCACTCTCCAAGAATAAGAGATTGCAACTATGGAATCAAATAACGTCTCCTTCTTCATTTTTGTCTCATTAGAAACAGAGGTTTTTACAAAAATCGGTTGATTTTTATTCTCTTTTCAAAAATAGGGCTATTTGGGGTTATGGCCCCACCCGATCACCAAAGTCATTAAACATATTTTCAATAAAATCCTTTTAGTTTTAATAATTCCAATTTATATGTAACATAAAACAATTTATACATAATTGAGATTTAAGAAATTATATATATATATATATATATATATATATATATATATATATATATATATATATATATATATATATATAGAGAGAGAGAGAGAGAGAGAGGAAGGATCATATGAGAACTCATAGTTTCCCGAAAACCTGAGAACTAAAAGTGGACATTTGGATTAAAAAAATTAAAGGCTAAGATCCTTTGTGACATTTTTGTAAATAATTGGGTAAAAAACACGGGAGGATACCTAAAAATATAACATAAGGACATTTTAGGGATAAACCCAAATAAACATATCGAATCCCTCTCTCTCTATCGATCAATCCCTTTTCCCGATTCTTCACTGACTCCATCGACATCCTCCCTAATTCCATCGGCACCTCCCTCCACCTCCGCCTCCGCCTCCAACGCCCACCCCTACCTGTATCAACGACCAACACGGTCTAGGATTCGTTGTTTTCGGTCATCTCGACTCCATTGAAGGTGCGGTCTCTTCTCCTTCATCCATACGTCTGTAGAAGACTACTCATACATCGACCTACCATTCTCTTCGCTGAAGATCCTCCAGCCTCCCTCTCATCTCTGTCAAGCATCGATAATTCATCATTAATCGAAAAAAATCGATTAAGCTCATGGATCGCAAATACCAACCGCCTCCATCTGCAAATCAGAATCGATTTCTCGCCTTCTGTTTCGATTTGAATGCTCTGGTTGATCTCTTTCCTCTAAATCAATCTAGTTTGGTGAATTTGTTATGCATTACAGCAATCAGAAGCAATCGTAAATCAACTCAGGTTCGTCTTTTAATCCTCAATTAGAATCTACTGCCTCATGTTGATTGTGTTTCTTGAAGCTATTTTGAAATCGTTGATTATCTTTTGATTATTTATTTATGATTTATTAATGGATCTTTGTAATTTTGATTACCTGTATTCCTTTGCTATTACATAAATCTCCATCTTCATCGCATTCCAGAACTCACCGCACCGATGGCGGTGTCGATCCAAAATCCATAACCAGAGTCCGAAATCCATCGTCTCCTCCGTCAATTGTCTCCTTATTCATTGCATCAAGTAAGGTGAAGACTCTACGCAGATCGTTGAAATGCAGGATCCTTCGAATCTGAATTCTTAGCCACAAAATGCGGTGGCGTTTCCGTTTAGGTCGTGTCATCATCCACTCCGTCTCCAGTAAGTTCATTCTCATGTGCAATTTCTTTGTTGCTCATTACTCGAATTTAGCATTTCAAGTTCTCTACAGCGAACGACTAGGTTAATTATAAAAAAGAAAAAAGAAGGCAAACAATGCTTTTAAATATTGGTGCTCGATCAAAGTTCAGTGGATCATTCACCCGAGTTACTATGGTAAAAGCTTTTCATTTAGCTGTGGATCCATTCAGATATTCATTACTAACTTCATCAATTGACTTTATATACAGGATGGTTCCAAAGTTTTAGTTAAAGGAAACGCTTGTTCTGATTCTCATGATTCATTGCTTAAAGGTCATAAAAACCATTTCTGTGTTACTGTTTGGTTGGTTTGTATAGAAGAATATGACACCATTGGCAATTTACACTATATTTATTCAACAGTCTTTCAATATTATTTGCAATTCACCACATTTTTTAAGTTTTGGGCAAGAGATTTGACCATATGATGATATAAA